ACTCCTTACATAGCAAATTTTGAAACACTGAAAATAATGCCATCTGGTGGTTTAATACAATATATATTGCTTTATTTCACACATTTCTTCAAAAAAATTTCCCCTAAATCCAATTAGATAAAGGGCATGCTACCTGCAAATATAAAAACCTGCCATTTACCATTCCTTAAAGACTGATGAAATTGTGCTCTTTTTTCTCACTAATTTGAATAACCTATAATTGTAATAGAATTTAAAGTATTAGCTAGGCATTATTTTAATTGAGTTTTCACTAATGGAAACTAAAAACAACTTAACCAATTCAACTATTTATTTTTCTAGATTTTTTTGTACACTGGCAATCACTGTAATATATGCATTTATGCATCTTACTACTATAGTTTTGAGTCCATGAAACATAGCACTTGAAACTTGGCATGGATAACGGGACCGTACAACTGTCTATCTCAGATTTTGTTTTTTTTTTTTAAAAAATGCAGAAAGTATAATCAAATCAAATTATATACAGACTGCACTACTATTTCCAGTCAAAGGTGGTGGATCATAATAATCACAACATATCTTATCCAGGACAATGAATCCTACTAAAAGAAGTATGCTTATAGTTACAAAAAGCAGCTACTAATCTGAAGTAACAATACATGACATGGAAGTAAACAGTGGGGAAGACTGTATCCAAAACTGAAGGAACTCCATATCTGGAACTTTCGAAGGTAATAGGCAAACAGAGTAAGAATGACTGAATCAAGAGACACCAGGACAGAAACCAACAAGTTAAAAGTAAGAGTAGCAATGCCTGCTGACAAGAAACACCTGTGAAAGAAAAATGAAAACTTATGAAAAGTCTCCAGAGGCAACTCATCCCGACTCCTCCCTAGAGACTTGAGGCACAGGCTAACCTAGTACACTAGGATGTACCACGGTTAGAAGTTTATGAAGCCCACAACTAAAAGACCAAAACCTGAGAACAAATTATGGAAAAGCTATTCTAATGTATGTGAGGGCTGATACTTGAGATGCATGTACAGTGAACATTCTGAATCTTTGTGCTCTTGATCTGTAATTTCCACCAACTACAGATTGCCATGACACATATGCAAAATGGTCATGACATGGATGCAAACACATTGAAGCATTTGTGCACATATCACCACAATTTAATAGTTTGGGATGCAATTGCTCACTTTTCCAGCATTCACAGGGTGTGTTTGTGTGTTCTAGAACTGTACCACTGAAGATTTGGAGGGACCACTATATCATTATATACAATATATTAATATGTGTTAGCATATTGTGAATTGTTTTTAATGAAGATCACTGTATTTGAATAACAAATACACCTCAGCATAAAATATATGTCACATACTGAATATAGGAAAGAATTACATCAGTAGATGATTATGATGCCAGACTCATGGTGTTCTTAATGGACCTGCAAAACTTACTCTGAATGTGTAACTACACAGCTGAAAGCTGTGTAACTCTGCAGATAACATAAAGATGGAGCTCTATTCAGGCTCTTAAACACACGCCTACAAACATTTGCAATATAAAAGACAAGCACGGTTCATAAAATCAGTGTTTTTATTTTGTTTTCATTTTGAACATTCAACTGAGCTTATCACAGGTAGACTTAATATCATTAGCTTTCCTTTTCAAATCAGCAACACTGAGCACTAGTTCATTCTGGCAAAATCTGAGAACGATTAAGAGTAATATATCTTCAAGTATTTGTTGTCCAATATAGTTGACTTTGACTAGCACCAAGAAAATGAGCAACAATTAAATGCGTAGAGTTTGCTGACAAAATGAACGGATGGATCCTAACTTTTTAAAAAAGGGAGATGCATAATCTGGTTATGTGCAGTATTTCTTTTCTCTCCCACTTGTTAAGCATTCAGTCTCCTGTATGTAAGAAACTGATAACATACTGAGAATATTTTACATTACCGTACCATAATTCTAGTGTAGAATAATTTCACATTTAATTTTACCAGCAAACACGGCAACAGATTTGTGAGGTAGGCCGGTATTATGCCCATAATGCAAATGGAGGGGAGAATAAGGCATAGAAAATAATGGATTATCTAAGGTCATTAGGTGAATTTAAGGTACAGCTGGAAGTTAAGATTCTGACTTTCCAGGGAGAAGGAAGATTCCCTTTCTGTCTCCTTCTTTTGTTTCTCCTATGCACAAAAATGCACAAAAAATGTCATGCCATGGAACTTAGATTGCAGTTGAAAAAGAAGCAATAACCTCTTCCCATTTTCAAGACTGATTTGTCTTCATTCGTTCCATTTGTCCCAAGACGTTTTGTAGCTGTTGCTGACAGCAGAACTGCAGAATCTGCGGCTCTCTATATATTGATACACAATCACTTCCATCATGCCTCACAATGGTCAGAAGATTGAAGGGAATTTATTGTCTTCAAGCTCAATAACTTATACATTTCACAGGAAGTTGTCATGGCAGCGAAAGGGGAATATAGCGCTATCCCAATTTAGTGTGATAAAGTTCACAAGTTGTTATCAAATTGGTTTAGTATGGTGTTGATAACATCTCATTATACCAGCACAGTAGCAAAAGGGGAAAGCCAGAGAAAGTTGTCTCCATTGCCGTCTAGAGAAAATGGCTGTGTCCTGAACATCATGTTTCCTAAATACCTGGCTTCTGGTTAGGTCTTCAAAATTTAAAACACTGTGTGAGATGGGTGACTTCCTCAGGCCTTCCTGGAGTGCTTACAACTTAAGACCCACTTTGAGAAAACAGGATGTTCAGGATTTGGCAGTTTTCTCTCTGCACAGCAATGGCATTCTCTACGCTTTCCCCATCACTATTACACCTGCGGTCTACATATACTTCTTGTTGTGCCCTCTATTACACCAGAGTAGTTAAGGCAACCAAGATCTCAGTCTAGGATAGTTACTTTATGCATTTGTTGAATGATCATTAGAGGAGGCTGGTCGTTCTGAAAGTAAAGAAGCAAATCAACACGACATTAATACAGGTCCAGAGATTAAGACTGGTCACCCCGTGTGAAAACTGGAGTAAACCCTCAGTTTCACATCTACTTGATGTTTCCATATCCAAGGTTAAAGCACATGAGGAGAGGGAAGTTTGGCAAAGACAGTCTTAAGAGAGACAAGGCAAATATACAGCATCTGAGTGGAAGTCTCAAAGTTGCACAGAGCTCAGAAAGGCAAAGTTTGGGAGTGGGGTGTGATGAATGGATAGGAGAGTAGAGGGAGATGGCATAGAAAGAAAAAAATACTTGATTGGGATATTGTAAATGCCAAGCTTTGAGAAAACTTTTTGGTGGGCTGAACATGTCTGATAATCCCACATCCAGCATGGGCACGTAGAGCTCTGAGAATTGACATCCAAAAAGAGTTACTCTGTCAAGCACTGCAGAAGACTAACACATGAAAACAGCAGTGACAAATTAGAACACAAGCTGATCACACTCAGCATTTGTTCCATACACAGCCTACAATGTGCTTCAGGCAAAAGATAACAGTATCTCAACCCACTTAAGGCATCATAAATATATTGGTCTTTAGCACACAGTTAGGAATAACAGATGAATCAAGTATAGAACATTTAATAGTCAGGGCTGAATAGGGAAATTCTAATCGTGTCTACTCAGAAGTAAACCTCGCTGAGTTCAGTAGATCTTTCTCTTAGCTAAAATTGCATAGGACTGCAGTCTAAGTATGCATCTAAATTGTAGAATAACAGGATTAGAAGAGACCACAAGGGCCATCCAGTCCAACTCCCTACCATGCAGGAATACAGAATCAAAGCACTCCCCACAGATGGCCATCTAGCCTCTGCAGGTAACCTCCAGAGGATGAGATTCCACCATGCTCTGAGGCAGCATTTCCCACTGTCACACAGCTCTTATCATCAAGAAGTTCTTCCTAATGTTTAGGTGACCTCTCTTTTCCTGCAATTTGAATCCATTGTTCCATGTCCTAGTCTCCAGAACACCAGAAAACAAACGTGCCGCTCCTTTCAATATTTGAAGATGGCTGTCATATTCTTTTTCAGCCTTCTTTCCCCCACGCATAACATACCTAGCTCCCCAAGCCACTGCTCATAGGGCTTGGCTTCCAGAGTTTGCATTATTTTGGTCACCCTTCTCTGGATATGTTCCAGCTTCTTGAATTATGATTAATTAATGCAGTTTGACACCACTTTAAGTGCCATGGCTCATTGCTATGAACTCATGGGATCTGTACCTGGTAAAGCATCCACACTCTTTGGCAGAGAAGGCTAAAGATCTTGTCAAGCTACAACTCCCATGGTTCCATAACACTGAGCCATGACAATTAGAGTGGTGTCAAACTGCATTAATTTTCAAGTGTAAACGCATCCTAAGTCTGTCTCTTGTGGATTTTGAAAATTTGACAAGTATGTCTGTTCTTTTACAAATCATTGGGTGCACCATGTAATACAGGAAATAAAGCCTGACTGCTTATTGGAGGGAAGGATAGTAGAGGCAAAGATGAAGTATTTTGGCCACATCATGAGAAGAAAGGAAAGCTTAGAGAAGACAATTATGCTGGAGGAAATAGAAGGAAAAAGGAAGAGGGGCCGACCAAGGGCAAGATGGATGAATGGGATCCTTGAACTGACTGGATTGACCTTGAAGGAGCTAGGGGTAGTGACGGCCGACAGGGAGCTCTGGCGTGGGCTGGTCCATGAGGTCATGAAGAGACGTAAACGACTGAACGAATGAACAACAACGGCATTGTTTTCCTATAAGCATAGTATTCATTAAGGAGGAAAATGGAAAGGATCTGAAGGCATTATTTCATGGGTCAGGCAGGGACACTGGGATGTGAAAACACTGTTGAACAAAATCAAAACAAGTGTAAGGTTTGGGTTGCTGTGAGTTTTCCGGGCTGTCTGGCCATGTTCCAAAAGAATTCTCTCCTGACATTTCACCCACATCTATGGCAGGCACCCTCAGAGGTTGTGAGGTTTGTTGGAAACTAGGCAAGTGGGGTTTACATATCTGCCCTTTTGGCTGTGAGAAATTATGGGATAGTATCTGCGTCTCTGCAGCGTAGAAGGAAAATCAAATACTCCCCCACAATTTTTCGCAGCCAAAAGAACAGATATATAAACCTCACTTACCTAGTTTCCAACAGACCTCACAACCTCTGAGGATGCTTGCCACAGATGTATGAAAAACGTCAGGAGAGATGCTTCTGGAACACGGCTAGACAGCCCGGAAAACTCATAGCAACCCAGTGATTCTGGCCATGAAAGCCTTTGACAACACAGTGTAAGATTTGGTTTTATTGACCACAGGAGACTCTACTTCATTTGCCAAGAGGCAGAAGTTAATGACAACTTTATACTGAAGGCCAGATCCATTTCCCGGCACAGAAGTAGGTGGTAAGAGCTCAAGAGCGCCCATCTACACAACCCATCCCTAAACACTGGGAGCAGAAGGAGAGAGGCAGTGATTATTTTTCCGCAGTATTTTGAGCTTGTTTCCTGGCCACAACTGCTTAGGCGCTTCTCCAGGGAAAACTGATTCCAAGGTGGGATGAGGCAACAAGTTCAGATGGTTATCACTTATAACCCTTTGTTAAAATAGACATAAGACACTTTGTCCCCATGTTTGGCCACAATTGATTCTCTCAGGTCGGGCTCCAGATGCGCAACGGCAATTTTGCTGAAAAGGAAAGGACAGGAAAGAATATAGTTAGTCCTATATGTATGGTAAGTCTTGGAACTAGAAACTCCATAGGCCAGGTAAGAATTGTGCCCTCTAAGACACATCACTTCAGCTCACTAAGTATTAGTAGTTTTCTAGCAATGGGAGGAAGTGTTGTTAGGAGAAGAAAGAGTAACAGGACACTTGCCTATTATGATAAAAGACAGTCACGTCGAACTTTTCCTGATACTAGCTGTAAATTTTACAGCTGGGGATTCTGAGGAAATAGGCGCTTTCTTAAGAATACACAGAGTTCTTTGTCATCTGTCTAGACAACAAAGGAAAGTCCAGGCAATATGGAGCTGAAAGTGGCAGTAAATGGACACAGCTGCAAATAGAGCCAGTTCCCGAACAAAGTAGACTGTGCCTTTTTAATTCTGAAGGGAGATGAATCACATAGAGGCAGACGTAAAATCAATATTAAGTGCACAGCAAATCCACATTACGGACATAAGAATGCCATAACAAGGTAGACACATTACAAGACAAACTCATAAACTGATCCTAGGCAGTGCATCATTACAGAAGGAATTCAATGCCAAAGTCCTAATCAGCACAAGGATGGTTGGTGAACTTTCTTGGAATATATCTGGGAACCGGTACCTTAGCAGATGGTTTCATCAACATCTTAGAAATACAACTGGTGCCAAATATGTCATGCTGGCATCAACAATATACATATACATACATACATACATACATATATATATTGTAATGAAATATAAAGCTAAGAATAATAATATTACAATATTATAACTATATATTTTACATTACATGTAATATTACTAATAATATTACAATATAATGGTATAGAACAATATAGTAATATATAATGCTGATATTGTTCTATGCTAATAATATAATATATTGTGTGTGTGTGTGTGTGTGTGTGTGTGTGTGTGTGTATAGTAAGCTGCTCTGAGTCCCCTTTGGGGTGAGAAGGGCGGCATATAAATGCTGTAAATAAATAAATAAATAAATAGGTATTTTACTAAGGCTTTTAGGGCAGGACTAATTTCATCCAGATTTACAGGTAAATTGATTTAACTGTTTTCAAACTGTGTTGAATAGTTTAATATGGTTTAACCTTTAAATTATTCTTACTGGTTTCAATTGGTCATTTAATATTAGGTGGGGTATGAATATTTTAATAGATAAATAAATTTCATTAAAAACATGGACTCCAATGTTTCATTTGCATATAAACAAACAAGAGTATTATCTTGACTTAAAAGAGCCACACTCCAGTTCAATGGTTCCCCATCTTAAAAGACCAGGGAAGACACTGATAATAACAACAGAATTGGTCTTCATCCCAAGTGATGAAGCCCCAGTGGCACAGTGGGTTAAACCACTGAGCTGCTGAACTTGCTAACCAAAAGGTTGGCGGTTTGAATCTGGGGAGTGGGGTGAGCTCCTGCTGTTAGGCCCAGCTTCTGCCAGTTTAGCAGTTCGAAAACATGCAAATGTGAGTAGATAAATAGGTACTACTTTGGTGGGAATGTAATGGCACTATGTGCAGTCAAGCCGGCCACATGACCTTGGAAGTGGACAACGCTGGCTCTTCAGCTTAGAAAGGGAGATGAGCACTAACCCCCAGAGTTGGACATGACTTGACTTAATGTCAAGGGGAAACCTTTACCTTTACCTTACCCAGCTGATACCAGAATTGTAGGTACCCGTATATACTTGAATATAAGCTGACCCGAATATAAGCTGAGGCACCTAATTTTACCACAAAAAACTGGGAAAACGTATTGATTCAAGTATAAGCCAAGGGTGGGAAATGCAGCAGTTACTGGTAAATTTCAAAATAAAAATAGAAACCAATCAAATTACATTAATTGATTCACCCATAGGTTACATGTTTTTGAATATTTACATAGAACTGTAATTTAAGATAAGACTGTCCTACTCTAATGAAACCATTCTTCTAACCTTCTTCAATGTAAATGTGCTTACATAGCCTTCCAATAATAATAAAGAAATTAAAATAATAAATATAATAAAAATAATAATAATAGTGTTAAATAATAAATGTTATAATAACAATAATAAATAGAGAAAAATAATAAATATAATAATAGAGTAAAATAATAAATGTAATAATAATAATAATAGAGTAAAATAATAAATAACCTTCACTCAAATATAAGTCTAAAAAAGGCTGAAAAACTCAGCTTATACTCAAGTATACTCAAGTATATACGGTAAGTCAGAAGCAAACATCAGGAAAGACAGAAAAAGAAGAAAAAAATAAAGTTTATACCTTCTTTGGGGGAAAAGTGCACAGCCAATTGGGACCATGAACACGAGACTGTAAAACAAAGGAAGGTCATTAGAAAGAAGATTCAAACAGTGAATGCAGTACTGACATGTCCCAATTGTGACTGCCAGAATTTTTTATATCAAGACAGTTTGCTTTCTAGCTGTCACTTGGTGAAGACCTTTACTCACTCCAACACCTGTTACACTTTAGAACTGGGTATAAGTCTTCAGGTAACAGTAACTGCATCTGAACCTGGGGTTGCCACATTCTTATTCATGTTTGTATTTGATTTATTAGTCCTACGACAAGATATGAGGAAACATTTTCATCAAAATGGCAGCATTTCCTCATGCCTAGATTTATGGACTCCACAGGCTAGCGGGGGTGGACACAAGACACACTCTTATACACAATCACATATGCACTCCCACAACATCATGCTGCCATTCTTCTGTACACACACTCATTATGTTTCTCAAGTAAAGGCACAAAGACTAACAGTTCTCACAGTGTCCTGCCAGCATTTTTAAAAAGGTTAAACGAACAAGTTCCGGCATCAAACCTGCAGATTATATCCAAGGGTAACATTAATAACAAGCTATATGGTACTTACAATCCTCCAACAAGTATTGTTTGCAATGGAGCATGGAGAACGTGGATTTTCTGCCAAGAAAGCATCATATAAGAAAGTAAGAACTTTTCAAGTTACAGAGTTAGTGCTGAAATCCCAAGAGAAAAACAAATCAATTTCCGCTTTACTAGGATCAGACAAAATTTAAAATGCATTTTGACTATGGAATTTGGGTTTACACAATGGTCACTCATCAGTACCTTCAAGCACTGCTTGTGAGAAATGATGAACATTTTAGACTGCATGAGATAGCACAGACCTATTCAGCACTTCTGCTGACTCAGGATTCTCTGGAATCAAGATCGCAAACAGCTATCCAAACCCCTCTGAAGAAAGAGCTGGCCAGTCCATAACATTATACTGGAAACTAGTTCTGTTGTCTAGCTGCTATTAGAGTGGACAGGTTTTCTCAAGTAAGAGAAAATGGTTTTGTTGTTTATTTGTTCAGTTGCTTCCGACTCTCCATGACCTCATGGACCAGCCCACGCCAGATCTCCCTGTCGGCCGTCACCACCCCCAGCTCTTTCAGAGTCAACCTTTTTCCAACCCACTTACCTTCATGAAAGGGTATTTTTCTAGTCTCTCCATGATGATAGGCAACACAACTGGAAAGAGATAAACGATGTGAGTTTCATCTTAGGGCCCTTCCACACAGCCATATAACCCAGAATTATCAAGGCAGAAAATGCCACAATATCTGCTTTGAACTGGGTTATCTGAGTCCACACTGCTCAGGCTAATAACTGGGGCGGCATAGGGAGAGCATAAAACTCCCATGTTACGCCAGCTCCACTGGCTGTCAGTTTGCTACTGGGCACAATTCAAAGTGCTGGCTTTAGTCTATAAAGCCCTAAATGGCCCCAGTCCAATTTACCTGTCCAAACGCACCTCCCCCTATGAACCAGATTAAGATCCTCTGAGAAGGCCCTGCTCTCTGTCCTGCCATTGTCACAGGCGCGATTGATGAGGATTCTTGGACCATCACCAAGAAGGCCTTCTTGGTGATGGCCCCCCGGCTATGGAACTCCCTTCCTGGTGAAATCAGATTGGCCCCCACCCTCCTGTCCTTCAGAAGGATGGTAAAAACTTGGCTGTGGGACCAAGCTTTTGGGACAGTGCAATAAAGCAGCGATAGGAAACTTTACCAGGCCACTTAGATTTGATGCAGATGACCAAGACGGTTTAAAACAGTGTGTTTTAATATTGAGATAAATGTTTTTAATGTTTATGTATGCATATAATGAATTCTTGTCCTGGTATTGAATATTTGCCGTATATATGTCGCCCTGAGTCCCCTTCGGTGTGAAAACGGTGGAATATAAATGTTTTAAATAAATAAATAATAAATATATTTCAATTCAAAGCAGATAATGTGGGATTTTATTCAGCTGCGTGGAAGGGGCCTTAGTCACTTATGACTTCATGTTGTACAAACTGTAGTCATGAGACCTAATATACACACTCTTCCTTGCCTATTCAAATAGAATGCAAAGATCAGGGTAGAGAACATTTGATACTTCTGGACTATAGCTCTCATAATCCTTTACCATTGGCTAAGCAGTCTGGGCTTTTGGGAACTGAAGTGCAAAGCATACAGAAAGCCAAACATTCCAATTTCTGTTACAGATTATATCTAAGTGAGCTCTTCATTTTTGAAAATATTCATGTTTCTATTTCAGGGCAACTAAATGCTATAAATGTTTACAAGACATGGGGGGAAAGCTTAGGAAGTGCCTTCTTCAGAAAGAATCAGAAAGGAATGTTTCCATTCAGCCACAATTCTTATTACACTTGGGAGTGATCATAACAGCACTTAAATGGTTCATAATCAATACACTGATTGTGTTTGGAGCAATTTCAAGTACTCAGTTTAAAGCATTCCCACTAGAGGAGTTCAATCAAAGTACTTTAAGTTGCCATCCTGGGGATTTATCCATGCCAGATAAATACAACCAAGATCTTTCTGTAGTCTCTTCCAGTTCTAAGTGTACACACAACACATTACCTGTTTCCCATTAAAATACTCTAAATATATATACGTAACTGATTTCGAAAGATGCTTTCAAGAGTTTTAAATAATAAAATGCTACAATTTACAGTGTGATATGCAAATAGCAGGCAGGAACAACATAAGAATTTACTTGCAACATTTGGTGTTAGAGCATACAATTAAGACAAGGGGGTATCATATAGGTACCATACAGAGCCCAAGAGGAAGAACTGCGCCTGAGAGTAGTTATTTTAATACAGGAAATGGATCATTGGAGCAGAAGTTACTTCTGAAGAGCAAAGCAAGAGACAGAGCTTTAAAAAAAGCATCAATTACCCTTTATACTCCATACTATCTTATGGGATATGGCGGTCTGCATGACCAAATTGTTTTTTATTTTATTGTTGCTTTGTTAGTGGTGACTGTTGCTAGAGTCTCATAGAATCATAGAGTGGGAAGAGACCTCGTGGGCCATCCAGTCCAACCCCTTGCCACGAAGCAGGAAAATCACATTCAAAGCATCCCCGACAGATGGCCACCCAGCCTCTGTTAAAAGGCCTCCAAAGAAGGAGCCTCCACCACATTCCGGGGCAGAGAGTTCCACTGCTGAACAGCTCTTACAGTCAGGAAGTTCTTCCTAATGTTCAGATGGAATCTCCTTTCTTGTAGTTTGAATCCATTATTCCACATCCTAGTCTCTAGGGCATCAGAAAACAAGCTTGCTCCCTCCTCCTTATGATTTTTCTCACATATTTATACATGGTTATCATGTCTCCTCTCAGCTTTCTCTTCTTCAGGCTAAACATGCCCAGCTCTTTCAGCTGCTCCTCATAGGGCTTGTTCTCCAGACCCTTGATCATTTTAGTCGCCCTCCTCTGGACACATTCCAGCTTGTCAACACCTCCCTTCAATTGTGGTGCCCATAATTGGACACAGTATTCCAGGTGTGGTCTAATCAAGGCAGAATATAGGGGAAGCACGACATCCCTGGATCTAGACACTATACTATTGATGCAGGCTGAATTTGGCTGCAACCATCAGATTTCCACAACTGAACATCAACTGCAGTGGTTCCCTGGTGCAAAAGGGCACTAGAGTAATGTTGGCTCATGGACCAGTGAGGTGAGTGAGCTACCAACTGCTGACCCATGGTGACTTGTCAGGAAACTATGAAACTATGATAATATGTCACAAATATGGTACTGGTCCTTGGCAACTAGAGCCTGTCTTATTAGAGAGGTTGAGAAGCAATGTAATGATTATCTGCCTTGCAACTTGGCAGAGTTGTACAGAGATGCAAGGCAAATCATCCATCCTCAAGCAATAGGAGGTGAAGAATCAGAAGGCTACTGAGATTTCTGGAGTGTAGATGGCAGCTGTTGAAGAGGAAACTATGTACAACAAAAGAGGCACAAAAGTTACATGGAGCATGAAGATCATATGTTGCCCACTCATACAAAAGAACTACTACTAAAGGGCAATGACCCAAATTGAGAGAAGGACATAAGTCTACAAGCCTGTTATCCTCTCCCATCTTTGTTTCTTCTGAGCTCCAGGTCAGTTGCTTACTGATACCACATGCCATCTCTGATGCTCATCCCTAGAGCTCCCTACCAAAAAGGGAGGAACACTTAGTACTTACTCATGCCAGGAGCGGCCATGGCAATACGGGAAACCACCACTTGAGCTATCCCTTTGATTGCAGATCTCTGAAAGAAAGGAAAATAGGAGTGTCATACATGTGCTTCACATGATGATGACACAGAGAAACCCTGCCCTGCAGAAAGCATGCCATCAGTGAATAAAAATGACTTTAAAAAAAAAGAAAATCTGGCATTAGTCAAAAGGCCCGTGTTGTGGAACTGCCATATTTATTATTATTTCTGGCATTTATATCCCGTCTCTTCTCTACCCCCGAAGGGGGACTCAGGACGGCTTACATTGGCAGCAATTCGATGCCACTCAGTGGAACCCCCACCTAGATGCTACCACTCCTTTAACTGATAGTGACAGCATATAAAATACCTGTGGAAAATGTACTGCAGCAAGATTGTTATAACTAGAGCTGATTATACCTTCTTTTTTGGCACAGCTTCCTGACAGTCTTTTATTAGGCACAGTTTAAACTGCTGGATATGTCCCAAGAAGCCCTATTCAGTGGTTATCAACCTGTGGGTCCCCAGATGTTTTGGCCTTCAAATCTCAGCTGTAAACTGACCGGGATTTCTGGGAGTTGTAGGCCAAAACACCTGGGGACCTACCGGTCGAGAACCACTGCCCTATATGGCACAGGTCCTGAATGATTGTATGTTTTTCTATGAGACCGCCTGGGTACTAAAATCTTTAGAAGATGCCTTTCTTTCAGTCTCACCCATTCACAGGCATGTCTGGTGGGAACAAGGGAGAGGGCCTGCTTGGTGGTTGCACTTAGGCTTTGAAAATTCCCTTAGAAGGCGAAAACAGTTCTGCCTTACTGTCCTTCAGTCTGCAAGTGAAAACCTTCCTGTTCTGATGGGTGTTTAACAACTAGCTGTAATGGGCTTGGTTTTTATTTGTTGTAAGCCGCCTTGGGTCCAATTGGAGAAGGGCGGGTTAAAAATGCCCTAAATAAATAAATAAATAAATATTTAATGCTTTTTAATGGATTTTTAAATGATTTCAATTCTTTGGCTTTTTTATTGCATTATAAATACCAAGATCTTTTTATGAATTTTACTGTATATCTGTTTCGACTTTTACAAGTTGTGATAAGCCCCAGTATTAATGAAATTGCAAGATCTTTTTGTGTGTGTCAGGAGTGACTTGAGAAACTGCAATTCTCCTCTGGTGTGAGAGAATTGGCTGTCTGAAAGGATGTTGCCCAGGGGATGCCTGGATGATTTACAATCATGTGGGAGGCTTCTCTTATATCCCCGCATGGGAAGCTGGAGCTGACAGAAGGGAGCTCACCCCACTCCCTGGATTCGAACTGCCAACCTTTCAGTCAGCAGTCCTGCAAGATAAATGATGGTGATAATTATGATCTTCTTGGGATCATAATTATGAGAAGATGCTGAATATTGAAACAGTGGGGTGACTGTGACACTTAAACATACAGAATAAACAGCTGAAGCTTAAAAAATTGTCATATGTCAAAAGGGCATGTGAAAGCAGTAGATTTTGAGACAAAGTACAATTAGGCACTCAAAGATGTCAAGTTACGTACTAAGCACAGTCCTTTGGAACTTAGTTATGTTAAAAGGGTGGGGACAACAAATTGCTCACAAAGCAATTGAGCAAAACTGAACTATACAACCTGGGAACTTTTGACCTTCCAGATGTTTTGGACTACAACTCCTGTAATCTCTTACCTTTGAGTATACTTGGCTTCTATGAACAAAACACCTGGAGGGCCAAAGGTTTCTCACCACTTCTGCCAGTTTAGATAACACCATGTAACATTATTTTTGTTTCTGGGTTATAAATATCATTCCTAATTGGTTCTGTCATAAAAACATGGAAAAAGTTTATTAAACTGCAAACACTTTGTTTTTGCGGGACATCCTACAGCACATTTTACTATGAATATCCCATCAAGTCTCAACCAATTCAACATAGTTTGTGGCAGCCACAAAAACAAGATTTCTGGAGTATTAACAACTACTTTCAAAGTACGTACCACATAATGAAACAGGAAATAACACTTTCAGACCAGGAACAGATTTTTTTTCACATTTTGTTGCATAGTGTATTTTTTTCTTCAGCAAAAAAGAAAGAGAGGTTCGTACCTATTTTCCTTCCATGTTGGAGTCTTTAGTGCTTTGATCCTGCCCCATGGCTCATACATAGCCATGATACATTCTGATAGATCATCTCTTCTGTCCAGTTCTGTATTTCTGGCAGACTGTATTTGTTTTAATGTGTCAAAACAAATACAGTCAATATATTCAAAAGTCAGAGAATCACAGAGTGGAAGTGGGCCCCGTGGGTTCGCATATCAATGGAGGATCTCCATCCAAGGCAGTGGTTCTCAACCTATGGGTCCTGGGGTGTTTTGGCCTACCACTCCCAGAAATCCCAGCCAGTTTACCAGCTGTTAGGAGTTCTGGGAGTTGAAGTCCAAAACATCTCGGGACCCACAGGTTGACAACCACTGGTCTAAGACATCACTTGTGGGGAGTTGTCCTGTCTCTTTTTGAAAGCATCCAGAAAAGGAGATTCCACCACATCTCGAAGCAACTAATGACATTGCTGAACCACTCTCATTGTTCGGAGGTTTCTTTAAGTGTTCACTTGAAATCTACCCTCCTGTAACTTCAAACCATTAGACCTAGTCCTACCCCCTGGGACAGCAGGGAATGTGCCTCCCTCTCCTCTCTATGATGGCTCTTCAGCATTTTGCAATCATTATTGAACATCAGCGACATCTCCTTGGTTATTCTTGCCTCAAATTTACCTGAACCCCTCCTCCTTTTTCCTGCTCTTTGCTTAACCAGACTAGATTCATGTATAAGGAAACCATCTTTTTAAATGCCCCGGACTTGGTACTGAATGCCTCTTTCTTTCAAGTAGGGTACCATTTTTGGGAGAAAGACAGCACACAAAGTCAAATAAAGAAATAAGGTTTACTGCAATGGTTCGCAACCTGTGGGTCCCCAGATGTTCTAGCCTTCAACTCCCAGAAATTCTAACAACTGGTAAACTGCCTGGTATTTCTGCGAGTTGTAGGCCAAAACACCTGGGGACCCACAGATTGAGAACCATTGGTTTACTGTCTACTGGGAAGAGCTGCAGCCACATTGTTTCTTCCTTTACAGCTGTGGAAAAACAGGGCCTATTTTCTATGTCCCGTTAGCAGAAATTGTTAGCCTTGTCCTGGTTTTACCTTTCCCAGAATACTGCAATCTTTGTTTTCACTATTCCATCATCTAATTTTTGTCCCTTAACCTCTACTGAGGACTCTCAATATATCAAAATCAACAATCTCTTATGGTTTTAATCTTATCTGTCCTTGAACCCCCATTCTGGCTATTAATGAAGTGCTCCTTGCAACTTTCAAAGACTTCAATTGCCTTGCCACCACTTTATCTCTTCTCTCAACGTATCTCTCCATATCCTTGCCAACGACCTTCACTCCTTCAGCTTCACCAAGACAAAGGTCTTCTCTTTCATTAACAAACTCAGCCATTTCTGCCTTGCTGCCCATTACACTATGCAACAAAATTCGGGGAAAAAACCCAAACATGTTCCTAGTTTGAAAGTGCTATTTCCTGTTTAATCGTGTGATACTTACTTTGAAAGATGAAGACACTTAGCTGTAATGACAGGAAGGTTAACTTTTATTGAGTTGTGCTAATGCCTGCAATAATTGTATTAGACAAATGTTTTTAAGTATGTTATTTCTTATTGCAAATTTGTTTTTATAGGTTATTGTTTTACATATGTATATTGTTTTGTATTGTCTTTCATATAATGTTGTAAGCTGCTTTGGATCCCATTTAGAGAGAAAAGCGAGATATAAATAAACATTTATTACTCTTACTATACATTATTATTATTAAAGTAGTAGTGATACTCCAGAAACGTTGTTTTTCTGACTGCCACAAACTATGTTTAATTGGTTGAGACTTGATGAGATATTCATTGGAAAACTATAGCAAATGTGCTGCAGGATGTCCCACAAAAACAACGTTTTTGCAGTTTAATAAACTTTTTCCATGTATTTTTGATGGAACCAATTAGGAAATAACAGTTATAACCCAGGAACAAAAACTGTGCCACGTAGTGTTATAGTAGAACTGCAAGCTTGACACATCTGTTTGATGACAACTCTTACATTGGATATAAATCCCTCTTCAAAACATTTTCTGTGAAAGTTCCTAATTTTCTTGCTCTACCTTAACTAAGTCTGCACCTAATTCTAAGCAAGTGCAATTAAAATACCTGCACATTTCTGAGTGCAATTTTAGAAGAATATATATTAAAGAAGAAACTGGCAAACACTATGAAAATGAATATACAGGCAGCCTCCAAGTTATTAACAAGATAGGCTCTGTAGGTTTGTTCTTAAGTTGAAATTGTATGTAAGTTTGTACAAGGTACATTTTTCAAGTGTAACTCCAGCCAAATGCATATATTTTTAGCTTTGGATAGCAAGGGGAAGGGTTAATATGTTTTTCTCTCTGTGCCCCTGTTCAGAAGATTTCACCTCACTTTCTGTCCCTGTGAGAATTGGATTTTGAAAAATGTAGCTTGTTGTGGAAGCAAGGTTTGATGAGAAAGCTTCAGTGGAAAGACCCTTTTCTCATATAACTCTTTCAAGAGATAAATTCCCTTCCTAGGGGTAGATTTCTCTCATTTCCTGATGTCTTACCCCTATTCTTAACTATGAGTCATTTGTAAGTCAGATGTTTGTTACTTGGAGGACTCCCTGTAATACTAGAACTTACCTGAACAAAAACAACATTAAATAGAACATCTTATTAAACCCAATCATCAACATCTTATTAAACTCATTTTCCAACAATCAGGTAGGTAGGCAAGACACATTCCAAGTCATCTGTCCTCAAAAAGGGACAATATTGCATCTAATCATATTTTTTAACCTTCCTGAAATAATGGTACTTACCCTTGACGTGCCCAAAACGTTGTCATTCTCATCTGTCACTGTGATTCCATTAATGAGTTCCCTAATGCATACAAAGACATATGACCAAGTCACTGAAGGGGCAAATCCCCTAATGAGACAATTGGTCAATGAGGGTAGAGTGTCCACCAAACAGCCATATGTTGCTACATCATAGGAACAAATATATTTCATATGAATCCACATTACAGACTCTTTGACTCATGTCAACTGCTAATCTCTGTGGTTTCCAACTCTCCTATGTCATAAAGTTATGAAAAGATAATGAGTTGGACTGAAGCACCCAAAAAGCCAAAATCTCCAATCGTACAATACCAGTGCTCAGAAAGTTTACTTTTCTGGCCATTATGTCTGGGGAATTCTGGAATTTATAATGCAAGAAAATACCCTCCCAAGTTCTGTACATGTATCCCCAGTGCTAAACTTTAGCAGAAAGATCTAACACAGTATTATGATTTTATGGATAAAATTATTGTTATACATGCAATGCCAGTAAGATTCTGATAACTAATATTCACAATGTTTAAAAAAAAAAATGGGATAGTCATTTGATGATGGTGAAAGGAAGAGATAAAAAACAAAACAAAAATAAACCAAAAACATACATGAAGGCTGGAGAGTCATTCGTAAGATAGCTTCATTTCTCCAAAAAAAAAAGTAAAATGTGACTTGATGGAGGTGTAGAATAGCTTTGGGATATATTTGCTATTCTGGGAGTTGCGTTCCAAAAAGTAATTTTCTAAGTTGAACACAACACACTGAGTGGATATTGTTGCCATCAGTTCCCAAAAGTCGTTATCTACTGTGTACAAGCTCAGTCTCCATCTTGTACTAAACTGATATCAAGTTCTAGCAAAACAAACAAATGAACAAAGAAACCCAGAAAGCAGCAGCAGAGCAGATCCCCAAACTACTCTATGGCATAATTTGCAGCTATTGTGACTGCAGTTATTCAGCTCTTGGATCACCTAAGCTTACTGCGTACTTTTTTTATTACAGCCTCAAGGTGCCTTTATTCGCAACAGAATTAATTGGAAGAAAGGTCACTTGGCAAGATGTGATTTAAACTCAATTAAATTCTTTCCGGCCACAGTGCTCTGTCAGCATAAAGAATATTATCTTTCTGAAGTATTGCCTGCAAATTGTCAGAGCAGGCAAAAAAGTGTGATGATGCTGCCTCTTAGTGGCTTTTTCTGAGAATAACATGTAAATCATTAAAGAATTGAAGAATAGAATCACTGAATCACTGAGTTGGAAGAAGCCTCGTGGGTCATCCAGTCCAACCCCCTGCCAAGAAGCAGGAAAATCGCATTCAAAGCACCCCCGACAGATGGCCATCCAGCTTCTGCTTAGAATCCTCCAAAGAAGGAGCCTCCACCACACTCCAGAGCAGAGAGTTCCACTACTGAACAGCTCTCACAGTTAGGAAGTTCTTCCTAATGTTCAGATGGAATCTCCTTTCCTGTAGTTTGAAGCCACTGTTCCGCGTCCTAGTCTCCAGGGCAGCAGAAAACAAGCTTGCTCCCTCCTCCATATAATTTCCCCTCACATATTTATACATGGCCATCATTTCTCCTCTAAGCCTTCTCTTCTACAGGCTAAACATGCCCAGCTCTTTAAGTCGTTCCTCATACAGCTTGTTCTCCAGACCCTTGACCATTTTAGTCACCCTCCTCTGGACACATTCCAGCTTGTTAACATCTCCCTTCAACTGCAGTGCCCAGAATTGGACACAGTATTGTAGGTGAGGTCTTACCAAGGCAGAATAGAAGGTTAGCATGAATAATGTATATAAAACATCATAATCCCAAATATTCATTTGAATGCTAAAACAAAAAAACAACAACAACATTTGGGATGAAAGAGAAGATCACTGACACATTTGCAATATCACAGGTGAATCCCCCTGCTACAGAATAAAAGGTCCAGGTAAAGCAATCAATATATTATTCCCTTAGTTCCATTTTTTTAAATGGTTGTATAGATCAGCAATTCAACATTAGAATTCACATTAAAAAAAACTCTTTAATCAACATCAGACTGATAAAGTTTATGCGTCAGAAAGAATATGGATTAAATTTAAACAATATATTTTAATTTTTCCCAGTCCACTCCAATGTGGCTGATAATAAGTTAGTTCAAACAGGAGCAGTTAGAAATAGTTACTTGAGGTTCAAAACTGTTACTTTTCAATAGATAATGTAAAATTCCTCATCCCCTTCCAAAAAGAACCAATTCCACAAGTGCTGGGAAGTTGAAACCACAGTCAGGTGCAAATAAATTTACAGATGATGCCCACCTAGGCTTCAGTGTTTGCAAATCTCTAAAACATGGAAGGCTGTATCAAATCCAAAGTACAAGCCCCGCTGCCCCCAAAGAGTCACTTCTCACCTCTGCAAAGGTCTATCTAAACATGTGCAATAGATTGGGATGTGTATGATCCTTATTATTATATTATTTCCTTATTATTCGCTGTGTAACCATGAGCATGCTTTTCAGGGTCATGTGACTGCAAGTAAATTGTGCACCAAGGGAAGTTTAAAGAGAGAAGCACCCCCTGTATTACAGGCCTATTGAAACATCATTGCATAAGCAGCAGTAAGCAGAGCTGAATTCAATTAATTTATTCTGATTCCACTGTTACAGCCTTATGTAAAAAGAAGATTGCAGAAGTGTTATCCATGGTCCATTAACTTCAAAAACAAACAATAATAAATAAAAACTGTATTTATATTCCGCTCTATCTCCCTAAGGGAGACTCAGGGCGGATCCCAACATACAAAGGCAAACATTCAATGCCTCCATAAACAGACAAATATCAACATAATAATCCCAGAAGAACTCCACATATCAAAACAACATAAGAGCCTAACATTAATAAATTAAACCCAAGGCAATTAAACAAAAATGTATAAATAGTATAAAATCTGAACATAAAAACATTCACCTTAATTTATTGTTCACCAAGTTGTGTGGGTTGGTTGTGTAACCAGTGATGGTAACTGGGCTAGCATAAACTAGCTTGAGTCCAGCTAATAAATGTTACTTGATCAGAGATCTGGTAGTGATCTCTCAGTGTCGAATCCTCCTCCTCTCCATATGCTAATGAGCAGAAGTAAGTCTTCAGTACTTTTTTGAAGGAGAGGAGGGTCAGCTTTATTTCTTTAGAGAGGGAGTTCCAGAGGTGCGGGACGACCACGGAGAATGCCCTCTCTCTCGTTCCCACCAGCCATACTTGCAATGGGTGTGGGACCGAGAGCAGGGCTTCCTCCGCTGACCACAGAGGCTGAGCTGGTTTGTAAGAGAAGATGCGATTGGTCAAATAGTCTGGACCCAAGTAATTTAAAGCTTTAAAGCAGTGGGTCTCAACCTGTTGGTCCCCAGGTGTTTCCCAGAAATCCCAACCAGTTTACCAGCTGTTAGGATTTCTGGGAGTTGAAAGCCAAAACATCTGGGGACCCACAGGTTGAGAACCACTGCTTTAAAGGTAATGACCCGCACTTTGTATTTAGCCCAGAAGCAGACAGGCAGCGAGTGGACCTGCAGGAGTGGATCTCTCCCTGTATGGGGCTCCAGTCAGTAATCTGGCTGCCGATCTCTGAACCAGTTGAAGCTCCCGAACTGTCTTCAACGGTGGCTCAATGTAGAGAGCATTGCAGTAGTCTAAGCAGGATGTGGACTACCATGGCCAGATTTGGTGTCTCAAGGTATGGGCGCATCTGGCACAAAAGTTTTAATTGTGTAAAAGTGCTCCTGGCGACTGCCAACACACAGTTCCAGAGTCAGTTATGAGTCCAGGATCATCTCCAGACTGCAGATCTGTGTCTTCAGAGGGAGTGTGACCCCATCCAACACATGCTGTAATCCCATGCTCTGATGCGCTTTCTGACTGACCAGGAGTACCTCTGTCTTGTCTGGATTTAATTTCAATTTATTAGCTCTTATCCAGTCCATCAAGGCACTGGTTTAGGGGCAGAACGGCACTGTAAAATACCCAGGCACTGTAACATACTCCATATGGGATTGGTCTCCTGGTGGGAAAGATGTTGAAATCATTTGTGTTCCTGCCTCTGCTATCCTGCAATCGCCATTCATCTCTTGTTTCTAGGCAAGTTTATCCTGATGGCAGCACAGTGGTTTTAAAGCATCTAATCCATTTATAGCTTTTAATCCTGTCAAGTTAGGGTGGATGCTGCAATACCATTTGTACTGCAATTAAGTTCAGATTAGGTTTTTGTTTCTCCCATTCCTTGGGCAAGGTTGAACATAAAATAAAAAAGGTTAACCACAACGAGAAACAGGATTAGTTGGAAATTTTGCATAACCAGCCTATCATAGTAACATCACGACATGTAGTAAAAAGGGGTCATGGAACTGATTTAGCCTTTTGTCTTTCGGTCATTACAGCTCTAATTACTCTGTGGACCCAGATGGTATCTTATCTTACAGACTGTATAACAGGTAGAAAAACTGGCAATGTTCAGTTGCCTGCAGGTTCTTTTCTGCCTCTCATTGGCTATACGGCTGTGATGTCATGGAATACTTAATTAGCACAAGCAATAATATCAGCGCCAGAATGTTGACAATGCATGTTCAGTGAAATAAAGAATAAGAAAAAGGTCATTTGGGAGGAAAACATTAAACATGGGCCAGGGACAAATACAGGGGAAATGACTGGAAAGAAGAGGGGGCAAAAACAGAGAAATTATAAAACAGGAGTCACAGAATAAGGGGACAAAGGCATGCAACAAAGCAAAATTCAGTTTTCTAAAGGGCAAGGACAAGATGGGAAAATGCATGAGGCAAAGGAAAACAAAACACATGGAAAAATAGAGAAAAGAGCTTTAAAAGTGAGAGAGGGAGAAAATCACAGATCTTAATCTAAACCTTCCAGAAATAATAAAGATTTGCACACAGAGAAGCCTCCTGGAAGCTTAAGTCTGTTTTAAGACAAAATGTGTGCTCACGACTCACCATCATCATCATCATCATCATCATCATCATCATCATATCAATCTATCTATCTATATGCTCTGTGCATAATGAGTACTTTAAAAACAAAAGAACCAATGAACAAAATCACATCAAATTTGGCAACAAAACATCTCACAACACAAGGAGTGACCATCACTCAAAAATTATGATTTTATCATTTGGGAGTTGTAGTTGCTGGGATTTATAGTTCACCTATAATCAAAGAGCATTCTGGAATTGAACCAAACTTGGCACACAGAACTCCCATGACCAACAGAAAATACTGGAAGGGTTTGGTGGGCATTGATCTTGAGTTTTGGAATTGTAGTTCACCTACATCCAGAGAGCACTGTGGACTCAAGCAATGATGGAGCTGGACCAAACTTGGCACAAGCACTCAATACGCCCAAATAGGAACACATATGGAGTTTGGGGGAAATAGACCTTGACATTTGGGAGTTGTAGTTACTGGGATTTATAGTTCACCTACAATCAAAGAGCATTCTGAACCCCACACAGAACCCCCATGACCAACAGAAAATACTTAAGGCCATCTAATCCAACTCCCTTCATCAGGGCAAGAACATGTAGTCAAAGCCCTCCTGACAAAGAGCTATCCAGCCATAGATATAGATAGATATATATGATTCACACACAGAGAGAGATATAGCATCATAGATTTGAAAGGGACCCCTAAAGAAGGACAATTATATGTTGCATGTTCCAGAGTAGGCAAACCAGACAATCTTTACATCAACATTGACAAAGAAACAATGTTTACCCACAAGCATCAAGAAATTACATATATTAGAAACCAACACTTTCTCATTATTTTCCAGATCACCAGACTGGGCCACAGCAACGCGTGGCAGGGGACAGCTATTCATTTTTAAAAGGCAACCTATACTAAAAAGTGGAGATGTTGCCATCACATGGTGGATGTTTGGAATTGCCATAAGTCCTCTCTCCCAGGTCAAATAAATTTACTCTCCTCCATTTAAAAGCTACTTAAAATCTACTTAAGAGACTTACTGCTGCCTCATCAAGGGGATATTCACACAATTGGCAGCAGCTACTGCAGCAAAAGGGACCCAACGTGCCACAAGGGTCGGGGCTCTCTAAAGGGAGAAAAGATAAAGTAGTTAGGGGTAGGACCAGGCTTTCATTCCGAAATAGGGTGGGAACTGTATGGGTCTTCAGACACTGATAGACAGCAAGTCCCACCTGTCCCTAGTCAGTGTTCAGCAATATCTGGAGACTGGTGTTTGCCTGTCCTGATTTAAAATAGAAGGGGAATGGGCACTACACAATGGTGCTCTGAATGCTAGCAGTAGTATGCTCCTCATGCCAGAATTATTTCACTGCTCTCAAATTCTTACAATAAATGCTCAACTGCTCAATTACAATGCTGTCTGGCGAGGATGGATGGACATACCTTGCAGCCAAAATAAGCCACTTACATAAGCAGAGGAGCTTTGGAGCATCCAATTAAACGGCACCTAGGGCTGATGCAGGAAACAGGCCATCACAGTTCTGCCACAGTAAGGTACTGGAGGAAAATGCTAAGTTCCTTTCCTCATCCTTAGTCCTGCTGCCCTCTTCTGGTTAGAAAAATGAAACTTTTAGAACCGTACCTTGGTGTAAAGATTGAGTCCCACAGCAGTTGCCAAGGCAGTGGTGGTAGCAGTGAAATATGCGACTCCAATTTGCCTGGAATCATCCAAAAAGGATACAAAATAGGGGCATCCATAGTCAGTATCAGCTCAATTTCAATGTCTCACTCACATCACCAATGATCCCTTCTTATAACAAATGCATCTTGCAAGGCATCAGGTTCTACTTCCTCAACATCACGAATAGTGCCTTCTACTTAGTATTCTGATGCTGCATCTTCAATACTAAGATAATATGCAAAGGGGAAACAACTCTTGTAACTCTTCTAGGTGTATCTCTGTGATGCAAGACAGGGACAGAAAATGCACGAGTTTCCAGATGTTCATGGACTGCAACTTTTATCAATCCTTACAACAGGCCACACTGCCTAGGACTGATGGGAGTTTAATAATAATAATAATAATAATAATAATAATAATAATAATAATAATAATAATGATACTTTATGTATATCCACCCTATCTCCCCGGAGGGATTCAGGGTGGATTCTAGTCACAAAAAGGCAAGCATTCAATGACTAATCATAACAACTAATACACAGATAGCAACAAAAATTAAACTACACAGCATATAAAAATAAATTATAACTTAGTAAGTTAAGGTTAGATTCAAAGACAACCTATTATGTGAAACATAAAAACAAACATCAAACAGAAGCATCAGTTTCTGTTTACAGTCCAATAGCACAATCGCAATAAAACTCTACCTGCTTTCTAATCTAGGGAACTTGAAAGCCCAGAATGGCCATGAAGTAAAAGCTAACCCATGTAGAGTGAACATCAAATCATCCACGAATAGTCACATTTCCACTTCATTCGGGTTTCGATCCTGTCCACCAATGCCACCTGAATACAGAAGCAAAGTCCTGAATTCTTGGCAAGGATAACAAGATTATAAGAATGTGTTACTAACAAGGAATCCATCTAGTTCAGGGGTCCACAAACTTTTAAAACCAAGGGCCAAGTCACAGTCCCTCAAACAGTTGGAGGGCCGGATTATAATTTGGGGGGAAAAAATGAATGAATTCCTATGCACACTGCCCATATCTTATTTATAGTGCAAAAAATACTTAAAAACAATACAATAACTAAAATGAAGAACAATTTTAACAAATATAAACTTATTAGTATTTCAATGGGAAGTGTGGGCTTGCTTTTGGCTGATGAGATAGGATTGTTGTTGTTGTTGTTGTGTGCTTTCAAGTGGTTTCAGACTTAGGTTGACCCTGAGCAAGGGCCGTGTAAATGACCTTGGAGGGCCGTATCTGACCCCCAGGCCGTTTGAGGACCCCTGATCTAGATTCTGCCTCTTCAACATTGGTCTGTTTTCAGCAAGTAGTTTTAGAAATGCTATGTATCTCACAGACAGCCCACTGCAGCCGACAGATACAGTAAAATCTGGCCATACTGACTCCTCCACAGAAAAGCATTTCCTTGAGGTTTATCTGAACTATTTCATATGACACAGTACTGGCGAGCTCAGACCATGCCAACTAACCTGACACACTAGGTTAAAAAGATGGTGCTATTAGGTAACCTCAAACTGGATACTTACTTGACAGTGATGGGGCTGGCAGCATTCCTGTTCGTGTAGTTCACAAAAGCATTAAAAGACTGATTCACCCATTGCCAGAAAACTACAGCTGGGACTGTCCTGGAGGGAAGAGCAGATGAAGTGGGAAAAGACTCATATGCCAGAATAAGTATTTGCATCCATTCAAATTAACAACCATAGCACAGTTTGCATTTCCCTCTTTTCAGGCCCAGAATGTTCACTTTTATGGGGCATTTTGTCACTGTATGTTGGATCAGACAAAAGGCCTATCTAATCTAGCATTCTATTCACACTGGATAACTGACTGTTTATGGAAAGCCTCCCAGTAGGATATGAGGGCAAGTAAACCCTTGCATTGCATTTCCCAGACAGTAAAGGACAGGGCCTCTTGGTGGCACAGCAGGTTAAACTGCTGAGCTGCTAAACTTGTTGACCGAAAGGTTGATGGTTCGAATCCAGTTAGTAGGATGAGCTCCCGTTGTTAGGCCCAGCTTCTGCCAGCCTAGTAAAACATGCAAATGTAAGTAGATCAATAGGTAACACTTCTGCGGAAAAGTAACAGTGCTCCATGCAGTCACATGACCTTGGAGGTGTCTATGGACAACGCCGGCTCTTCAGCTTACAAATGGAGATGGGCACCAACCCCCAGAGTTGGACATGACTGAACTTAATATCAGGGGAAAACTTTTATCTTAAAGTATAGGCAATAAATCACCAATACACAGCCATCCTGACTAACAGCCACTGACAACTCTAGCTTCCATGAATGTATCTCATTCCCTTTTGAAACTGTCCACATCCACTGTTACAAAAGAGGCAGATAGGCCATATGTGATCATTATATCTACTTTCATTTAAAAATTAAAAAAATAAATTATGGTTTCAAAAATAGTCATAACTTCAGGGACATCAAGAAAAGGGGCTAATAATCAGGAGATACTACCTTAGTACCCTCAACAGTTCCTTTCTTACACACAAAAGGGAAACTAGCCACATGAGATAGATATATATATAATCTGCAAAAGACATAGGTCACAAAAACTGATGAACCACATTGTAGAGTTTTGATTTTTGTCTTAAATGAGCAGGCAGAGCATAGATCTCCCTCTGCAAAATTCAGATCTGTCCACCTGATTAAGGCAAAAAGGTTGGCTGGTTTACAGATGTTGGCAAAAGTCTCCTTTGATTACTATCAACTCCTAGGTTTTATTCTAATATAGCAGATACACACATTGCTTGAAGATTAATTGCCTGAGGACCACTTCAGTGCTAACATGCTAGGCACCTTCAAGAACTATCACTTCACAGGCAAATCTAACTCAGCAGAAAAAAATTAGAGAAACCAGAAATACCGTGATACAGCCTCCTCCAATCTGGCATCTTCAAGAAGTGTGAGATAGCGGCTACTATGATGGAAATTGCAGTCCACTTCTCTGGAGTATGCCAGGTTGGGAGCAGCTGCTGTCTAAAGGTAGCAGGAATAGTTTACAAAACTAGTCTCAGATTGAACCTGAGAGGAAGAAATATCCAGTACTGAGTTTCAAAGAGGAATTGATCTCATGGAAACAAAATTAAGGGAGCCAGGAAATAAAGAAAGGATACACCAAATCCAATAAGTCCAACCCCTTCCTACCTATAAAACTGCAGCATGCCGCCAGTGATAGCCATTCCCCCAGGGACTTGAAATGACATTCTCCCTATTAAATTCATCTTCTCCCCTGAATCAGGGTGGAAAGCGGAGTCATAAAGCTTCTTGGCATAGAAAAGTTGCTCCTCGCTGGTTCCTGGAGGCACGGTGCCTGCCCTGTTGGCATGGGAAAGAAACAATTATTCCATCTTCATCTTTCCTATAGCCCAAACCTCCCAAATGAATAGTATCCCCACCCTGCAAATTATACAACTGGTAAGGAAAAAGAAGCTCTACAGAAGCTACTACTATGCTTTCAGACTCAATAGCACCCATATTCTTAGCATTCAAATAGATAACATACGAACGTATCTCCATCTACGTCCCACCTCAGAGTTTAAGATTGTCTGGGGAGGCCCTGCTCTCAATCCCGCTTTCTTTGCAAACACATTTGGTGGGGACGAGAGACAGGGCCTTCTTGCTGGTGGCCACCCGCCTGTGGAACACACTCCCCAGTCAAATTAGGTCAGCTCCATCCCTCCTTTCCTTTAGGAAGAAGCTCAAAACATGGTTTTGGGACCAGGCATTTGGGTAACAGGATTGACAGCAATTGCAATGTTTTAGAATGGACTATGGACAGGCTTTGGACTGGGTCGTTGGTTGCTGAATTGGACTCGGATATGGCAATATGGTTGATAATAAAGATTTAAATAGATTTTCACCTAATGTTTTTATGTATTCTGTTATGTCATGTTGTATTGTGTTTTTGTATGTGTTGGCATCGAATTGTTGTGGTTGGAAGCCACCCCGAGTCCCCCCCCGCCAGAGGTTGAGACGAAGAGGGTACAAATGTTTGAAATAAATCAATAAATAACATACAGACCACAGTGGTCACCCCCAGACCTCTAGGGGACTAGGGTGATGTCAAAATGCATTTTTAAATTCCTCAATGATACAAGAAAATGTTACTAATGTAAACACAAATACATTGAAAACCCCTCTACACACATTCTACTTCCATATTGGAGCTACCATGTTTACTTTCCCTCCCCCAAACCTTCTCACCATGAGCAGAATCTCTGCTACTTTTACGAAATCACCTTACTAAGACAGATGTGAGACGTCCTACTAAGGTCTCACAGGTCTCTGCAGTGCAAAAAGACACTGGCATACACCACAAAGCTGACAACATAAAGGACAATATGTTCTGGCCAGAGGGCAATATGAAAACCTCCTTCACACTTTGCAATACAGCCAAAGCTCTACTGTCACCCTGGTCCCAGAGATCCTATTCAAGGGTACTGAATGAAGAAGGATTAAGTCGTTCTGTGCATGGGGTCTGCAGCATACACAGAACATGAGAAAGAGAGAGACACCTCAAGAGACAAGCCAGTGGCGCCTCTAATAACTACCTGCAGCTTTCCACCAATGCTTTTGCTGAATCCAGTTCATGTTCCGACACCAGTAGCGTCCTAGGATCTGTGATGTTGAAAAAGTGCTTTAGGCGTCCTATGAAGGTGTTCTGCTCCCAGCGAGGGGCGTCAATAGTAAATGTGGTAACACTGTCAGTCATTTCACTACAGAGAGAGAAAAAGTACAATTCATACATCAGGAAGAACTGACTCCCTTAAAGGAGACACACAGAAATTAAAGTTTATTGGTGGTACATGATGGAAATTAAAGTTTATTGGTTGGCTGCGCCAACTCCACTGGCTACCGATTTGCTACCGGGCTCAATTCAAAGTGCTGGCGTTGGCCTTTAAAGCCCTAAACGGTTCCGGCCCAAGTTACCTATCTGACCGCATCTCTGCCTATGAACCCACCAGGGCTTTGAGATCTTCCGGGAAGGCCCTGCTCTCAATCCCACCTGCTTCTCAAGCACGGTTGGTGGGGACGAGAGACAGGGCCTTCTCGGTGGTGGCCCCTCGGCTGTGGAACGCCCTTCCCACGGACATTAGGCTAGCACCATCTCTAATGGTATTCCGTAAAAAAGTTAAGACCTGGTTGTTTGAGCAGGCGTTCAAATAATTAGTGCAATAATTGGTAATGAACATAGGAATGGAAAATGGTTGAAGAGTCTGGATTATGTTTTTGTGGATGAGATGATAGTGATTAGTTATTGTAATAAGTGTTTATTAATTGTGTGCTGCGCGGGATTGCTAACTGTTTTATATCTAGCATTGAATTTCTGCTGTTTTGTTGGTTGTGAACCGCTGTGAGTCGCCTTCGGGCTGAGAACTGCGGTATAAAAGTAAAGTAAAGTAAAGTAAATAAATAACATGATCAGTAGAACATGAAAACAAGTCTTTGGCTGTTGTGATCCAGCATTTGCTCAATTCTACCATCTGAGGCTCATGACTGGATAATGGGTCTCTTTGGGCTGGGGTACAACTGGAAGAATTGTCAGGCTAAAGCATAAACTATCATTTGGAGTCAACTGAATACAAAAGGGCTCTTATGTCACTGGACAGCTGTTAATATTTGGTCAAGTTCTATTAAGGATTCAAGCTTAGTAAACCCAAAACAATGCTTGGTATAATATCAGTAAGCTGTGACACAAGTCCACAGCATAGATGCATTGTATTTTAATTACCTCCCTTTTGCATTCCAATTTTGTCCTTGCATTATATCTACAGCGCTTTGATGTTATATTTATACAATGACCAGTACTTTATTGCCCTCCTACTACACACAGATATCTAGCCAGAAATTAGGAGCAAGTTGATGAACTCATTATAAATTCACTAATTTATTATAGTGATTTCACCTGTCTAGATTCCCCAGTTAATACTGAAATTAGAAATAGGTTTGAGTGAATTAGGTTGTTAGAATTTATTAGGGCTCTCTCCCTGTGCGTCAGATTCAATAAAGCAGGAAGGCTTGATGCCTCAGGAGAAGAAATACTGTACAACCCCTGTGTCTGCAGAGCTTATACTGAGTTTAATTTATCCACTTTGGACAAAATATGCTCTCTCTAGCCAGTGGTTCTCAACCTATGAGTCCCCAGATGTTTTGGCCTACAACTCCCAGAAAGCCCAGCCAGTTTACCAGCTGTTAGGATTTCTGGGAGTTGAAGGCCAAAACATCTGAGAACCCACAGGTTGAGACCCACTCCTCTAGGAATTTTCTAGGTTAGAATGGATACTGGTTTTGTATATCCACATAAAGTTCAGGAATGTATCCCCCATAGACACAAGGTACATATTATGTTAGAATGGGATGAAATGTGGCACTCAGTTCTGTTGTTAGGAAGGTGATTTCTTTGCAAAGACTTGGAGGAGGAGAGAACTTTTGATGCCCATGTCACACATAGCTAAGTTTGTAAAACAGATAAGTTTGAAAAAGAAGGAAAAAAATGAGGCTTGAAATAGAGTTGAATAGAGAAGTGATTTGTTTGCTTAGCAGAGTGTTGATTGCACCTAAATTGTATCCCACTTAAATTAGTCTGGCTAGCCTTGGGCTGAAAATGTCCTTGCTTAATGGCAGGTTAGGAAATAGAAAAGCATCCTTGATTCAAGACCTGATCTTGGATGAGCATGCCAACCTGGCTTTTATTACAAAAACCTTGCTGGATGAAGCTGAGATGGTAGGGTTTAATCTCTCTCAGCATTGTCCACCTAGTTGTCAGGATGTCCATACCAGCTTAGAATTAGCTGCTCTGCCCTCCATCGGGGGAGGTTGAGAGGATGGATGAGAGGATGAATGAGAGCACATCACAGATAAGGCCACCTGGTCTTAGGAGAAAACAAAACTGTAGGATAGCAACTGTGGGAATGGAATGTAGCCAGTAGAAAAGGATGGGAGGATGATATACACAGGGGATTGCCAGGAAACCTTTCGATCTGTCTTTCTTATGACTATGGTAAGATAGAATAAAGTTGTATTCAAGGATTGGCCTTTGTGAGTGTGTTTTTATTCCAAGAGCTTCCAGGTTCTGACACTGATTCTCCATAGAGCAGCTGGTGAAGCCTGGAGAGGTAGAAGTGAAGGTTGTTTTTGTTGTTTATTCATTCAGTCGCTTCCGACTCGTGACCTCATGGACCAGCCCACACCAGAACTCCCTGTCTGCCATCACCACCCCCAGCTCCTTCAGAGTCAAGCCAGTCACTTCAAGGATACCATCCATCCATCTTGCCCTTGGTCGGCCCCTCTTCCTTTTTCCTTCCATTTTCCCCAGCATCCTTATCTTTTCCAAGTTTTCCTGTCTTCTCATGATGTGGCCAAAGTACTTCATCTTTGCCTCTAATATCCTTCCCTCCAATGAGCAGTCGGGCTTTATTTCCTGAAGTATGAACTGGATGGATCTTCTCGCAGTCCAAGGCACTCTCAGAATTTTCCTCCATCATCACAGTTCAAAAGCATCTGTAGGTATAGAATTCTACCTGGGTTCCATCTCCTTCACCAGGCGACCCATCTCACAGTCTGCTGCATATGAATGTGTGTACTTAAAGGTAGATAGCTGTGACAGAACCAGGATTATGCTAGAGTATCGTCCACTGCACTGGTCAACAGTCTCCCTTTCTGAATTGACTAAGTTGGTTTCAGTGATCTTTCTATCAGGAGCAGCTTAGAACTTCGTGTCCTCCCAAAGACCTTTAAATAATAACAGGTTCAATATAACTAGTTTAACAGGTTGACAGATTTTTTAAGAAAATATATTGTGGTTTCCAAATCACATACTTTTTCAGGAGTTTAATCCAAATGTCAGTGAAAAGTTAGGTCATAAAATCAAGGTTATTTTAAGGGAGCAGTTCTTTGAAACTGGACAATATGGGAAGCCATCTGAGATGTAATCTCGGTCAGGTGAGCAATCCAACAACTTTACAGTGATCATGGACAATGCTATTGAGAAGCCAGGAATTCCACATGAACCCCAATCTGAAAAAATCTACTTCCAATGTATACTGTTTGTTTGTTCTTACTGTGGACTTTGCCATTTACTGAATCATGCAAAACACTGTAAAGAGGGATTTTAATTCCCTAGTGTCCCAAAGTTGGACTTGGCATAGATGGAATTTGCAATGCACTCTATGCCAAAACAATTGCTTCACATACCAAAGAAGCAGCCTCACTGTTAAAATATAAACAGCAACACTACTTATAATCAGCAAAATAAAAGCATAACTAATAACCAATGGCTTGGCAAATAGCCTGCCATTCACCCATCTCCCTAACAGGCCTTTGCTAATATGTAACTGTATTTCTGGAAAACTCGGGACCAAAGAAAGATCAGCATTTATGGCAACAAGAGTACTTTGGAATCATATAGGGAGCAAAAGATTATCTGGCAGCGTGGACAAGAATCTGATCCCTCAGATTATTGCTAAAGTGGGGATTGCTTTGTATGTGTAGGGAAATCCCCACTGTTGGGCAATGCAAGTGACACGAAACACAAAATAGTTATGGGACCAAAACTTCATTTCATTCACTTCCCATCAAAGTAAACAGCTTTAATGCTAGTTATGTATGGTGATTCTACAGTTAAGCGTTTCAGCATTTTTGGAATATGGGACATTTTTAAGATGACAAGTTGATGAAACTTTGTTTTGCCACTACTGCAGGTGGCTGCATTTCTATGCCTCATTGTTTTTCCAACAATAATGAAATGAAGTGATATTATATGATATCACAAAAAGGCTGTGTGGTGAATAGAGATGGAGTTTAAAACAGAAAACATTCACATTTTTCCAGATGGAGCTGCAGTAAAAAGTTTCTTTGCTTAGCTCCAGAAACAAGCCACTTTTTTCCCTTACAGAGATGGAAATAACTCCAACAATACAAATTTTCCTGTTAACATAATGTGGTTCATCATGATGTTTACATAATTGTTTACATAATGTGGTCCATCCCAGGACCATGGCTGTATAATGGGTCCCTTGCGTTGTGGTACAACCAGAAGAATTGTCCAGTTTAAAGTAAATGTTGTTCAAAGTGTTTAAGATAATAGCCCTTAAAAATGAATTATCTCTTTTGCTGGAGCATTTTTTTCACTGAAGGGAAGTCACAAAGATAATTGAGATGCACAAAGTTATTCTCCTGAGAAAAAATTCAGAACAAGGCACAGACCAGGAAAGATATATATTAGGAGGGTCAATCAATACATTAAAATAGTGCAGGTAACAATGGAAGCCAAAGCAAAAATTCTATTAACTCATTTAAGTTGCTTACCTATACAAGGCACAATGAGCTAGAAGTACAGTAATGGCTTGTAGTTAAATATTTATTAAAAAGTGAGGAGAAAATTCTATCTTTTGTTCAAGCTTTACATCAGTAGTTTACAGTCTTGGATGCCCAGCTGTTCCTGGACTACATCTTCCAGGATCCCTGATAATTGGTTAGATGGCTGGGGCTTATGGGAGCTGAAGTCTGGCTCATGAATACTGGTTTACAGAAGGTTTTTCTATGCCTTGCTAAAGTTTATCTTGTTCAACTTGTGATTTGAAAGATATTACTTTCTGGCGTACCCAAAACACCACCTAATTCAGGATACTTCTGCAAGTATTTGTAATAACGCAATCAAGGCAAAAATGTTATGGTGCAATAATAACTCTACTCTAAAGTTCTGGTAATTTGAATGGGATCTATTCCTGAGAAAGAATGTTGGTCTGCTTTAAAAAGTGATTGAGCTGTAAATTCAAGAACCTTGAAATTAGTGCTGTTCAGTTGTTTTAGACAAGTCCAAGTATTAGGCATATAGGCTAATATTTATGGAATTATAGTCTAAAACACATTAAGGGATGCATGTGGACTTGGCTCTCCTCTCATTCTCATATGCCATAGTTCCTTTGCTATTACCTAACAGAAGGGGCATAGGCAGGGCATAGGAGAATAAAAATGAAAGACATCCAAGATTTTTTTAAAATCCTCATTAATAGTCAAGATGTGTACTGGAAGCTTAAGTCAAGTCATCTTGCTCAGCAAGCATATGGATTACCCTTGTGGTTATAGAATAATTAGATCTCTAAAGAGACAGTGGAGGCAAAACAGAATTAAGCACATATAACCATGCATTGCCCTTGACCTCTAAATAAATAATTATTCAGTTTCTTCGGTTAATGTAGAGCATCCTCTGTCTCCTGAAATAAACAGAACTATACCTAAAGAGACTCTGACTGCAACTATCAGTGGGGAAACAGAGGCAAGTCATAGGGTTTTTAAAAAAATTATGAATATTTTAAAATTAATACTTGTTTTAAAAAATCAGAAGACAGAATGCCTGAGAGAGAGAGAGAGAAAATGCATAGTAGTTTACTACAGGCAATCATATGGATATATTAAATTGTCATTCAAATTTTGCAAATTCAAGAATACCACTGCCAAGAAGAGTACCGGCAAATAATAGTCTTAGCTTACATCACCAGCTCCAGCATGTCATGATAAAGATACTATACCCCACTCCAGATGTAAGCTTGTAGTTAAGGAGAAACACTGCCAGCAAACATTAGTTTGCCATATGTTGATTTATGTACATTGGATTTACCAAAGTCTAACGGTAAGCATGTTGCAACATACTATACATTATCAGCCCATAGTACTGCAGAACATAGAACTTCACATGGATGAGCAGAACAGATAGAGGTGCAAGGAAAGGGAAAGGACGTGAGCACTTTCGGCCTAGCACTGGGGTAGTGGACTAAAGTCTTGCTAAAGATTTGACCTTTTAATCAGAGGTCTTTATCAGGACCACCAGCTGAATCCTATTTTTCAAGCATTGCTTTTGGCTAGGATCTATCTCCTTCCTCAATCGAGAAAAATCACACTGTGCTATAGTTCCCAAGTTTTATTTGCAAATCACTACCAGAGTACTAGTAAGTATTCTGGATAAACAAACAAAATTGGAATTGTATGCAGAACTGGCATCTTGGGACAAAGGGATGGTGACTAGAAGAAAGACAGCATTTGAGTATCTAGACCAGACTTGCACAACTTGGCAGTAGTTAGGGGCCAACATTAAAACAGGCTAAATTTCTTTGGGTCGTAGATAGGTTTTTAGCATCTCACCAAACTATAATTCCTAGGATTCCATAGCACCAAGGCATGGCAGCTAAGTAGTGTCAAACTGCATTAATTCTACAGCATTGTAGAAAAACTGAGCTGCACGTGCACTGTAGTTGTACCTCAGTGTACCCTAGGAAATGAATGGCCAGCTCTTTTAGCATTCCTCATACCTCCAGGTTTTCTGATGGGCTTCTTCAGACTACAAACTGTACATGTGTGTAGAATAGCACATGGTAGCAGGGGCTTATGATTACATAGGATGGCTGCATCCTACACTTTTGAACCATGGCTGGAGGTACACCTGGATGTCCTGGAGCTTGATAGGGAGGTCTACAGTAGATATATATGAGGCGTCTTGTGGGAGGCAGACTGTGATACCCAGTGCCTTGAAGGGCTGACTGGCGGCCAGGGAACCAGTGAGAGTGGCAGCTCCTTTGGGCTGCCCAAAATCCTTTTCTGGGCCACAAGGGGCCCATGGATGGTATGTTGTGCAGGACTGATCTTGACAGTGCTTGGTGAATTCTCAAGTCGGAAGGGAGCCGTGGTCAAACAGAAATTTTATATGAAGAAGGATGATTTTTCAAGACTCTGGAATTACTGACTGTGAAGTGATGGTGAGGAACAAAATGCTTTAAGGTTCCTAAAAATGCATGTAAATAATATTAATAATAACTTTATTTTTGTACCTCCATCTCCCCAAAGGGACTTGGGGAAGTTTACATATGACACATAGTGCCTAAAAACAATACATAAAATAAACTAACAGTACAATACAAAAAAGTAAAATCAATTGCATATAAAAACAACAATTTAAAACTCAGAACAACGCCCAATAACCTGTGGTGACAACTACCGTAAGACATGGCCAAAATATAAACAAGACAAACTTCCAAAAAATCATTTCCAAAGAAAGCAATATAGACACAAATGTGACAGTCAATTACCACTTACTCCCACTCTGTCTAGAGCAGTGTTTCCAGTACAGGGTAAAGGAGAAGATTGGATTTTAAGCCTTAAAATGTACCTTAATAAGCCTGCCAGGCACCTGGAAATTTGTTTCTATTCCTGTGTTTCTTTGGATCAGTGCTGGACTCATTGCTAAGTATGCATGTAATTCAAAGGAGTGAAACAGTCTTTCTTTCAGATCACTAGACTGAAACTCCCATCAGGTCTCACCAATGAGTATGCTGACTAGGGCCAGTGTGAGTGTAGTGTAACACTTTGGCCACCTCTGGTGCAAACTGAGGACCAGACACAGCGATGTGCAGATTTCATTCTGTGGCTGTCATAATAATAATAATAATAATAATAATAATAATAATAATAATTATTATTATTATTATCCTGCCCTCTCTTCCGGAAAGGACTCAGGATGGCTTACAATTGCAGTATCTACAGTTGCAGTTATACTACAACTCATCAGCCAGGTCAGTCTCTTCCCAACACTGCTTGAAGTCAATGTTATACAAACAGTTTCACTAAAGTTTGTTTGCTCATTCTTTGTATAAGCTACCTTCAATATCCGCTAACTAGGCTTATGTGTGTACAACCTTGTTATATGACCCTGAACAGTAAGCTGGAACAACAGAAGAGGACTAAAAAGGACAATGTATTATGCCAAGGTCTTCTGCATATATACATTTTCAACACTCTACATTTCATTGCCCTTCAGTTCTCTATAACTGGTACTTTATTCAGCTGCTCGTGTGCTGTTTCCTTGATATATAAAATACAATTGCTCTGTGAATACTATAAAGTCCTTTTTGGAGATTGATAAGATTAGATCAACATCTCTTATTTGTTCATTTAACACACTCAATGGGCTATCATTCGATCACCTGCTGAGGATCTCCCCCTTCTTTCATCACATTAGTATACAGCATACTAGAGGTATCATATCAATGGAGTAGCACATTTGCACTCAAAGCCTGCAGTACATCCATGAAATGATCTGCAATTGTAGGGGGACTACTATCAGTAGGATTTGAACAAAGGCATTCTGAAGATAGCTCTGCATCAAAAACCACCTCATTCTCCTGACTCTCCTTATTCACCACCATGTTTTCTGCCACTGCAAACAAAAGAGACAGCCCCCTCCACCAAATGGGAAAAAACACTCTCTCGTCTCCTATCGTGGATAGGACCGCCTGTCAAGGTGATGAACTATCCACTATAAAAAGCCCTCCACCATCACTCCCTGGACTCAGCATGATTTCTCTATCCATCCAACTGCTGTGACATGGTTATTTCACCCTGACTAGCATCTCATACTTTGTAGAAAAAATTACCCTGGTTCTTGAAAAAAATCCTTACCAATCTTTTCAGAATTCTTTAATGAGGTCAACACACACATAGATAAGGCTGATTAGGTAAACACTTGGATTTGGCATCTAAGACAACATGATGATAATGGAATGACAGGTCCTCTTACAGATGAGACACTGTATTAAAAACAAAGAGACAATAACAAACAGTTGTTACAAAAGAAACAATGCTGATTTTATTCCATTAGCCTAAATCTTTCCTTTAACACCACCCTGATTTAATATCCTCATAAATTGCACAAAGTACACTTTTAAAAAGCCAACAAATGCTATTAATAGAGTTTCTGACACATAAATGCATCACTGAAGTCAGCAGCGGACAACGACATTTGTTATGTGCTTTCAAGTGATCTCTGACTTCATTATAGGTCTTTCTTCGCAAGATTAATTCAAATGCAGTTTGTTACTTTGTTCCTCATGCGATTTTATTTATTTAAGTTATTTATCTATTTACTTTACTTTTCTCTCCCCAGCAGGGGACTCAAAGCGGTTTCTAACATAATTATGACAAAATTTAATGCCTCACCTACAGAAACCTAACATAATAACAACAAACAAGGATCAATTAAATAATTAAACACAACATCATTTAACATTAAAGCATGGAATTAAAAACATATCAATATAAACATGAAAATCACACAATCCAATAATTGTAATCCAGGATGTTCCAAATATCATATCTATTGCAAATAATTCCTTGTACTGCTTACTGCCCAAAGGCTTGGACCCATAGCCAAGTTTTTATTTTTCTTCTGAAGGGAGGGCGCTGACCTAATTTTGTTGGGGAGGCAGATCCATAGCCATGGAGCCACCACTGATATACAGGCTGTCCCCAAGTTATGAACGAGATAGGTTCTGTAGGTTTGTTTTTAAGTTGAATTTGTTTGTAAGTTGGAACAGGTACTTGTAAAAGTGTAACTTCAGTGAGATAGATAGCTTTGGATATCCTAGGCAAAGATTAACACCCTGTGGTGTGTGTTTTGCTGTGTCCCTCTATGCTCAGTCTATACCCCTAATTACTAGACTGGAAGACAAACCACAAGCTATTTATTCCCACTGTATAAATATGAACTTCCCTGAAGCATATGGCAGGTCACTACTTGTGCACCCTTCAAATCTTCAAATGCAATCAATAATATTTTCAGAAAGACTGTTCTCTCACATCACTGGGTTATACATCCTCAGAGTTGTGAGGTCTGTTGGAAACTAAATAAGCAAGGTTTATATATCTGTTGAATGTCCATCCTGGATATTCTACAGGTATATAAACCCCACTTGCCTAGTTTCCAACCGACCTCACAACTTTTAAGGATGCCTGTTACAGATGTGGATGAAACGTCAGGAGAGACTGCTTCTGGAACATGACCATACAGCTTGGAAAACTCACAGCAATGCGCCTAATTTATTTATTTATTTACGGCATTTATATGCTGTCGTTCTCACCCCGAAAGGGACTCAGAGTGGCTTACAATATATATTTTCATACAATATATTATATTATTAGCATAGTACAATATCAGTATATATTACTATATTGCACTATACCATTATAGTATATTACTATATTGCACTATACCTAAAACTGTTTCATTGCAGTTCTCAGCATTCCCCATCATGGGCTATGCTGCTGGGACTTGCAGTTCAACACCATATGAAGGGCCACCTGTTTCTTACTCTTGTTTTAGAAACCCACTCTGGTCTAAATACTCTATTTCCTTAGAATTAAGGAATCGTGCCCCCCCCCCCCCTCTAATTGTTCTTAACATCCTGCATTACTGACTAGGCCAACTAATAAAGCTTGTAGCCCAACACTATCTGGAACACTGCACAGGGCAATACAGTGTTTCACATGCACTCTGGCCATATTATGAGAAGGTATGACTCTATATCAGAAGACAACAATGCTTGGTTAAGTAGATGATGGTAAGGAAGAAGGAGCACTGCATTCTACATGGGCAGACTTAACTTCAGATTGAGTTTCCAAGACCTGAGCAGGGCTGTTGATGATTTGGGAGACTTGGAGTATGTCTACCCTGTAGAATGAGTACAGTTTGACACCGTTTTAACTGCCAGGTCTCAATGCCATGGAGTCCTGGGAGTTGTAATTTGGTGAGGTGCTGACAGCAGCACTTTGGATCCAGCCCTGCAAGTTAAAAGAGCTTCTGGGTGGCTGTGAGTTTTCTGGGCTGTATGGCCATGTTCCAGAAGCATTCTCTAGGAAACTAGGAAAGTGGGGTTTATACATCTGTGGAATGTCTAGGGTGGGAGAAAGAACTTTTGTCTGTTTGAGACAGGTTTTTTTTCCGTGTCAGGAGCAACTTGAGAAACTGCAAGTCGCTTCTGGTGTGAGAGAATTGGCCGTCTGCTAGGACGTTGCCCAGGGGATGCCCAGATGTTTTGATGTTTTACCATCCTTGTGGGAGGCTTCTCTCATGTCCCTGCATGAGGAGCTGGAGCTGACAGAGGGAGCTCATCCGCGCTCTTCCTGGATTCGAATCTGCGACCTGTCGGTCTTCAGTCCTGCCGGCACAAGGATTTGACCCATTGTGCCACCGTGGGCTCCTTTTTGAGACAGGTGTGAATGTTGTAATTGGCCACCTTGATTAGCATTTAATGGCTTTGTAGTTTTAAGGTCTGGCTGCTTAAAATAAATCCCCTCCTCTAAAGTGTGTTTTGCTTCTACAGAAGGGCTACTTCTTTAGTAGGAGAATTCTAGACAGGGAAAAATCAGGGCCAGATAACACCTTCCAACAAAGGATTTCCGCAGGCAGGAAACAGCCAGACCGTGAAGCTGCAAGACCATTCCACAGATATATAAACTCCACTTTCCTAGTTTCCAACCTCTGAGGATGCCTGCCATAGACGCAGGCGAAACGTCAGAAGAGACATGGCCATACAGCCCGGAAAACTCACAGCAACCCAGTGATTCCGGCCATGAATGTTTTCGACAATACACAAAAGAGCTTCATCTACTACCTTGGGGTGCATCTACACTGTAGAGTTAATGCAATTTGACAGCACTTTAACTGCCACGCCTCAATACTATGGAATCACGGGAGTTGTAGTTTTACAAGGTCTTTAGAGTTCTGTGCCAAACAGTGTTGGTGCCTCCCCCAAACTACAATACCCATAGCACTGAGCCAATTCAATCCAAGCGCTGTCAAAACCGCATCAGTTCTGCAGTGTAGCTGCCCTCTTGGAGGACTTCTTCCCTCCCCTCCCGCTCGCCTCGCCTTCCCTACCTGCATCCCAGCGGGGGGCCACTCAGCGCGCGCACTCGCGCCCTCTTTTCTCGCGCACGTGGGTTGAGCTCCCTTCCCTCCGGGACGCGTGGCTTTTCTCAGCCAATGAGCGGCGTGGAATGAAGCCCTCCCCCCATCCTCCTTTCCACGAGGCGCATGCGCCAGAGCTGCAACCAGCGACCAGCGATTACAGAAAGGGGGCGGGGTGTTCCGCGTCAAGCCCCGCCTTCCCTTTCGGGGTCTCGAGACGTCGCTCGGGCTTTGACGTCCGTACGCAAGAGGAGCGCGGCGCGCGTGCGCGTTACTCAGTTGCCCATGGTAACCAGGAGCCGCGTAGAGGATGGTGAGTAGGAGATGGGGATGAGGGGCAAGGCTGAGGGGGGCTTCAGGTTTGGATTGTATTTGTGAGGGAAGGGAAACTAGGGGTTCTTATCCTTTTTACCCCCTTTTCTTCCTCTCTGGTAAATTTCCATTCAGGAGACCCTTTCTCTCGGATCTGTGGGTTTCCTAGGATGGATGAAAAGAGGGTGGGTGGATAGGCCTTGCTTTAGGGAAGAGGCGTGACCCGTGTCCCTGGAGGGAGTGGCGGGCAAAGAGTGGAGGCTTGCGAGCCAGGTTTTTGTCAACCAACATCCAAAGAAAAAGGGTTAAAACCCCTCCCTTCCCTCTCCATTTTACTACAGGTTGAGTATCCTTGATCCAAAATACTTGGGGCTAAAAGTCTTTTGGATTTTGAATCCCCCCCCCCATATTGTGGAATATCTGTATTTGAATATATTGTAGTTACGTAATAGATGGGACCCAAGTCTAAACCATATATGTTTCATATATATCTTTATCATAGAGCCTGAAGGTAATTTTATACAATACTTTTGAAAATAATAATCTTTATGGCATGTTTTCCATATTAGATAAAATAGAAATCCAAAAATATTTGTGCTAGAAAAAAATAGAAGAGAGAGATGGGACCCAAGTATAAAACATATATGTTTCATATGTATCTTTATCATAGAGCCTGAAGGTAATTTTATACAATACTTTTGAAAATAATAATCTTTATGACATGTCTTCCATATTAGATAAAATAGAAATCCAAAAATATTTGTGCTAGAAAAAAATAGAAGAGAGAGATGGGACCCAAGTATAAAACATATATGTTTCATATATATCTTTATCTGAGAGCCTGAAGGTAATTTTATACAATACTTTTGAAAATAATAATCTTTATGGCATGTTTTCCATATTAGATAAAATAGAAATCCAATATACTTGTGCTAGAAAAAAAATAGAAGAGAGATAAGTAAAGAGAAAATTAAAAAAAATAATAAAATAGAATGATAATAATAGCAAAAATATATATGCACATATGTATATAGAGTGAGAGAGTAAGATAACAGAATAAAATAAAATTTCTATGACTTCAGAGCATCTTGCCATAGCATTGCACTTAATTCCCAGGCCCCCTAGAATTTTTGGGCTTGCACAAATCTTGGCCTGGCCAATTGACATTTTTAAATTGCCTTGAACAGGCAGGATTACTTTTAATATATGTGTGTTATGGCAACAATTTTTATGCATATATTTTGTTTTGTTAATCTTATGGTTATGTTGTTTTTTTTACTTTGTATGTTTTGCGATGTTAACTGGGAACCGGTCTGAGTCTCCTCGGGGAGATGGAGCGGTATATAAATAAAGTTTTATATTATTATTATTATTATCTTCCTTGAGGTTTCTGCCTTTTCCTTATTTCCTTCTTCCTTATTTTTTCCTCTCCTCTTTTTTTATAAGCACCCTTGGGTGTGTGTTCAATTCTTTAGATAATTATCTTCTTAATGTTTTGCTTTAGGTATTCTAATACTTTTTACAGTTAACCAGAACTCATGGAGATGGCTAAATGATTAAAGTAGATTCTCAGGGTACTTCAACAGAGCCATATAACCCAGAATATCTGCTTTGAACTGGGTTATCTGACTTGGCCATGGTGGTCCAAGCCTTGGTCATATCCCACAGGTTACTGTAACAGGCTTTTCGTGGGGCTGCCCCTGAAGAGTGCTTGGAAACTTCAAGTAGTTCAGAGAGCTGCAGCCATGTTACTTACAGGTGGTGGACCCAGAGAGCAGACCACCCCTCTGCTACAGCATCTGCACTGGCTGCCAATCTGTTTCCGAGCCCAGTTCAAGGTGCTGGTTTTGACCTTTAAAGCCCTAAATTTATTTATTTATTTATTTCAACGTTTTGTATACCGAGCTTCTCAACCTCGTTGAGGGACTCAGCCCGGTTTACAGCCATAAAAACATATACATTCATTAAAATACCATATATCACAATTACAAAAACTTTAAAATAACACTATGTCTAAAACTACTATGGTCAATCGTCCTATTAAGATGGATCTACATCAACTTCCATCCAGGGTCCTATGGTGTTCTCTCATTCCTCGAAGGCCTGACTCCACAGCCACGTCTTCACCCATTTCCTAAATGTTAGGATGGATGGGGCGGTTCTGGCCTCCAGAGGGAGAGAGTTCCAGAGTCGTGGGGCCACCACCGAGAAGGCCCTGTCCCTCGTCCCCACCAGGCGCGCTTGCGAGGCCGGTGGGACCGAGAGCAGGGCCTCTCCAGATGATCTTAGTAATCTTGATGGTTCGTAGGGGAGAATACGTTCGGAGAGGTAAACAGGGCCGGAGTCATTTAGGGCTTTATAGGTCAACACCAGCACTTTGAATTGTGCTCGGAAGCTAATTGGCAGCCAGTGGAGCTGGCGTAACAGCGGAGTGGTGTGCTCCCTGTACCCAGCCCCCGTTAGTAATCTGGCTGCCGCGCGTTGGACTTGCTGCAGCTTCCGGGCAGTCTTCAGAGGCAACCCCACGTAGAGAGCGTTGCAGTAATCTAAGCGGGATGTAACCAAAGCGTGTACTACCGTGGCCAAGTCAGCCCTCCCAAGGTACGGACGCAGCTGGCGCACAAGTTTTAATTGTGCGAATGCTCCCCTGACCACCGCTGAAACCTGGGGTTCCAGGCTCAGCGATGAATCCAGGAGAACTCCCAGACTGCGTACCTGAGCTTTTAGGGGGAGTGTGACCCAGTCTAGCACAGGCTGTAACCCCGTACCCTGTTTGGTCTTACGACTGACCAGGAGTACCTCTGTCTTGTGGTTCAGGTCCAACTTATCCGACCGCATCTCCTCATGCTAACCAACCCGCTCTTTAAGATCTTCTAGTGAGGCCTTACTCTCATTTCCGCCATCATTGCAAATGTGACATTGATGACAGAGCGGGCATTTTCGGTGTTCGCTCCAACCCTGTGGAACATCCACCCAAAATAAATTAAAACAGCTCCCTCCCTTTCGTCCTTTAAGAACCAATTAAAATCTTTCCTGTTTAGACAGACCTTTAGTAAAGGAAAGTAAACTGAAGTGATAAAAACCATAGTGTTTATGGACTGGAACTAAGTGCAATATGATCTGACCTGATGCCACAAGAATGTGAATGTATATTATTGTTTTAAATTGTTATTTTATGATGTTTTATACTTATTATTGATGTATTTGGATTGTTGTTTACATGATTTTAGTATGTTGTAAGCCACCTTGGGTCCCGTGAAGGAGAAAAGTCAGATATAAGTAAAGATTAACTCCTCCTCCGAGTTCACACTGCCATATATTCATAATTCAAAGTGCTGGCTTTAACCTATAAAGCCGTAAACCAGTGGTTCTCAACCTGTGGGTCCACAGACGTTTTGGCCTTCAACTCCCAGAAATCCTAACAGCTGGTAAACTGGCTGGGATTTCTGGGAGTTGTAGGCCAAAACACCTGGAGACCCACAGGTTGAGAACCACTGCCCTAAACGGTTCTGGCCTATCTTACCTGTCAGTACATATATCCCTCTATGAACCACCCCAGGTGCTAAGATCTTCTGGGTAGGCCCTGCTCTCAGTTCCACCTCATTTGCAGCTGTGTTAGAGAGAAAGGAAGGTATGTAATGTGATATGTCCCGGGATTGAAATGACCCATTTAAGAAGTGGAATTGGGTCATGAGGAGTCGCAGGGTTTTTCCATGGAGAGTAAAACAAAGCTGTAAAATGGAAGCTAAGTCCATCTTGCTAAATGTCTTTAAAGATTACCAAGATGATGCCTTATTTTTTAACTGTATGGCCATTTCCTTTCCTGATGTTTTCCAGGAAAATATTCCTAAATTGCTCATCTAGTCTGCAAGTTCAAAGGGCCGTGCTAACTGTAAGGCACAGTTTTCATTTCACATAGAGTTCAATTTGAATGTATTTAAGCACGTAGCTCTCATGTCATAACACTGTCCAGATGTGTTGGGCAGCTGTTCTCACTCCAGCTACTATATCTTCCCAAGTTAGGGAAAGTTGGGCTAAAACAAAGGTAATCATAGGGCCTTTGCCTAGTTCAATAGATAAGCATATCAAAGGGGGAAGAAAAACAAGAGACATAGTATGAATGAAGCAAAACTTTTGCTGACATTTTTGTCCCATATAGTTCTTTTCTAGCGTATGGATAATCAGAGATAGTATGAATGATCAATGAATGGGTTTCTCATTAACAGTGTTCTACAACTGCTAAGGGTATAAGCAACATTATAGGTGTAAGGAAATGTCTTAACATCCCAGAACACAGACTTTGGTGGCTATTCTCTCATCAAAGCAACTTCAAAAGCTCTATTATGAAACAGCTGAATATTTGTTTAGAGATTGCAGGGTCAGGATCCTATAGCGACAGACATCTTGTACAATGTATGAGCAGTTGGACATTCTCCATGTTCAGAACCCATCCCTCTCTTCTACTTTACCATGAACTTCTTTCCTCTTTTTCTTATTGCTGCCATAGTTTTCTCTCCCCACATAACACTATAGAGGAAGAATGGAATCTTGACCATGGTTTTTTATAGTGAGGTTTTTGTTATTAATTAGCTAACCAATAACAGGATGCTGTTATTATCAATATTATCAGTACTACTTTCTGAATGTAGAATTTAAAATGTAAGAATTTTGCAGATATTCCAGATTTAACTTAACTATGTCAATTTTTTTATCAAACCATATCGTGAAATATGATTTGATATGGATATGTATTTTCTACTGATAAAATGGACTCTACTCTATAAAATGTGTATTCTAATATATTCGTTTTTATAGTACCATGTGACTTTATAAATTTTGCTTTTGTAGACATAACATGAACCTGAAAGCCATTTGGCAATAAAGGCTGTGTACAAATGGCTAGTGACCATTTTTATAGCTTGTTGCTTGCAGAATGTACCAATTAACACCCACAAACATGCTGTGGAAGAATATTCCAAAATACACATATTATTCATCATC